CAGGCAGGGGTGCGGGGCCCGTCCGGCGCCCACCCCGCCCGCCGTGCCCTGCAGGAGGCTGGCGCTCAAGTACCACCCGGACAAGAACCCCGATGACCCGGCGGCGGCCGAGCGCTTCAAGGAGATCAACAGCGCCCACGCCACGCTGAGCGACGAGGACAAGCGCCGTCTCTACGACCAGTACGGCTCCCTGGGGCTCTACGTGGCCGAGCAGTTCGGCGACGATGCCGTCAAGCACTACTTCCTCATGTCCAAGTGGTGGTTCCAGGTGAGCCCTGCCCTGCTGCTGTCTCGGCCCTGCCCAGCCGGTCCGACGCCGTGATGGCGGCCTGGCCGCTAGCGCGGCGCGGGTGGTCTTACGGGGGCTGCCGTCCGTTCCTCCGCAGGCCCTGGCTCTGTGCTGCAGTGCTCTCACCTGCTGCTGCTGCTGCTGTTGCTGCTTCTTCTGCTGCGGGACGTGCTGCCCGCCAAAGGAGGACGAGTCTTACAAGTATGTCGACCCCAAGGACCTGGAGGAGCAGATGCACGCAGAGGACAGCGGTGAGTCAGGCAGGCTGTCTCCATCTCGAGCCCCAGTGTCTGAGACCACCTGGCTTTGTCTTGTGTGGGGCTCCAGGGGAGCTCCCCCCACCTCATCTCACGTGGGCGATGGAGCTCTGGCTTAAGGCTCGGATTGGACTTAGCTGCAGCTCTTGCTTAACAGCCAGCCCTCGGTGTCTCCTGTCTGGACTGGGGCTGGTGACGGTGATAGAGGGAACCACTGCACAGGCCATCTCCTTCCTCATTCGCCCTGGGCGAGGGCCCCCTGAAGCCCCTGCATAGGTCTGCGGCTGAGAAACACTTGGGTCCGTGCCCTCCAGGGCGTGGAATGTGGGGAGAGCAGCTGTGCTCCAGGCTGGCTTCGTTCCCTGGGCACTGGCCATATTCATGTCTATGGGGACTGCCACTGGGTGACTTCTGCAGGTTTCCGTGGGGTGGGGGCTACTACTGCATGGGTGTGTGCTGACTAGAGGTTTGGGAGCCTTGGTCTGTGGGAGCCTTCCTGTGGGACGTCCCAGATACCTGCTCCCCAGCACCACTGGACAGGGCTGAGCTGCTGATCTGCAGCTGTTCTTTTCCAGATCCACAGATACCTGTTGTGGCACAGCCCCCGCCTGCCAGCACAGAGCCCTTGCCAGCTGTCAGCACCAGGACTGATGCCTGAGGCTGGCCTCAGTCCCACCGGCTCCCCCAGGAATTGGGGCAGGGATCCTCCTTCGGCACTGTCACTTTCCGGGACCCCGGTCACACCACCCATGGTGGCTCTCCAGCCTCAGGGTGGCTAGAATCTCAGGTTAATTTGGCCAGCATCAACGCAGAGGCTCTTCTGCCCCTGCTCAAGCTCCAGAGTGATGCTCCTGTCTCCCAGTACTGGTGGTGGAAGTGGCCTGGAGCCCATGCTGCTGTGCCCCATCCCCAGTGCCTCGCCTGCTGCTGTGCCTCCGCCTGGCCCCAGGCACTGGCAGCTGGCCTGAGCAGCCACGAGCAGAGACCTCTCCAGGCCAGGCTCCATAGCTTATGAGAGGTAGCCGAGCATATCCGAGACCGTTAGCACTGTAACCTGGGCTGAGCCCGCTACCTGCCCTCATGGGGACCCTCCTGATGGGTGCTGGGTGCCAAACGCTGCTCATGGGGTTGGGGTGCCACCTTCTGTACCCCCTTCCTCTCTGCCCTGCCACGGGCCCGGGGCACTGGCTGCAGCCCACTCTCGCTGCTGCTGGCAGGCTCCCTGCAGGGCTGGGACCCATACAGGCACTTTCCTTGGGTTTGGATAGGTTTTATGGGTATCATTAAAGGACGACAGGAGGGGTGTGTGTGTCTGTGTGGTCTCTCTCGGCAGGGGCTGCCTGAACACTCTGCGGTGGGATGTGCCTCTGCCTGGCCCTGCCCTGTGCTGGGTGGGGGGGCTGTGGCCTTGGGTCCCATGGGGGTGGTGGGCTGAGTTGAGTGTGGTGTAGGTGGGTTGTGTCCCAAGTGCAGCTTGACGGGCTGCTTTCTCGCAGGGATTAATGTCGCTCTGTCTCCTGTCACTTTCCTGGGACAACTCTGTTTCCCCCCCAGCCAGTGATGGCTCCCACGGGGCTGTGCTTTTCCCCCTCCTCACTGCCACGGTACATAGGGCAGCAGCAGCCTGGCCAGGCACCCTGGTCCCACTGGGGCATGTGCAGGGACTGTCCCAGGCCCTGTGGGAGATGGCCATTCTGGGCAGGAGCAGTGATGCTGCGGTGGCGTGGCTTGGGAGCAGCTCCCCTGGCCCTGGAGCTCATTCCACTGCATGTCTCAGCAACTCGGTGTGTGGGTCCTGCTGCGCTGTGCTGCCCCGGAGCCCTGCTCCCGCTCGGGCAGGTCTGCCAGCTGCCTGGCCAGGCTGCCCAGCTCCTGGCCTGCTCTCCTGGGAGCTGTGGCTTGGCTGAGGGCCTGGGCTAGATGGTGCCACCCCATTCCAAGGGGGAGAGGGGCAAGGGGGACACGGTGAGCCATTTGCCTTTCCCTCCCACTCCCGCAGGCAGCAGCCTCTGCCCGCAGCTGCACGGGCTCTGTCTCACGCCCTAAATATAGCTGGAGTGTCAGGGCGAGCGGTGGGACAGCAGTGTTCCTGGCACTGGTCCTTCTGGGCACCCTTCCACGCTGTTGTTTGGGGGACCCTGGCCTGCACCCAGCCCCACTGGGTCCTGCGGGTCCTACACCCTCCCAGCTCTGCAGACCCCTTGCCAGCCTGCCCTTGCTACCTGGGGTCCAGTGGGACGGGGCCCCAGTCTCTCATCCTCCCTGGGTGGGAGGTGGCAGGGGAGCCCTGCGGAGCCCCTGGGGAGCAGCGCTGCTCATCCTGGGGGAGCAGGGCTCTGCCCAGGCCAAGGGCTCAGGCCTGGGTTGGGGTGGGATGGGAACAGTGGGGACGCCTGCCCGGGGGGAGGCTGTGGCTCAGCCCCTGCTCCTGGAGCCACCTCCCTGAGGCTGCCTGGGCTGCAGGTCCCAGGAGGTTAGCCAGTCCCGGTGGGTTAGCTGGTCCCATGGGTCAGCTGGTCCCCAGGGGTCAGCCGGTCCCTGCAGCTCAGCCTGTCCCCAGGGGTCAGCTGGTCCTGGTGGGTCAGCCAGTCTCGCGGGTCAGCCGGTCCCAGTGGGTTAGCTGGTCTCAGTGGGTCAGCGAGTCCCCGGGGGT